TGTTTTGATGTCATTACCTCTGTTAATACATCCTTAGATCCCTTTAGCTTTTATACTCCCCACTTTGGCCTTCATACTGCAGTAGATTAAATATTATATTTTGCCCTGCATGGACAAAAGTAATATTCTTCAGACAACTAAACACATTAAGACTAGACTGACTGAAAATAAAGAGCTACTAAAGATTTAAAGTGACTAATTAAAAACCTTCAGGGGTGACTAATTACATCATCCACAGACATTAATCTGACTTATTCAACTTGCGAAGGATCTGCAGGGTCACCTATGAACTCATTGTTACACATTTGACATTCAGAAGATTATTCGAGTTCCCTGTTTGCAGATGATGTGCTGCATCTTAGTTAGGCTTAATAAAGCCCACATTGCTATGTGATTCAAATATACCTCATTAAAATCCTTCTAGTCAACGCAATGGGGTTTCCCTTGAGGAGGCAGTGATGTCACACATTGATTTGTAAAAATGCACAAGGCTGGGCTGTCAAACTAGCAATTGGCTTCTGATTTATGTTCATATTCACCCTTCCTCAACCACGTAATGCAAAAAGAAGTCACTGTCTCAGTTCAGGAACAGTCTTACTCGCCACAAACTTGACTGAAGGTGTGTGCAGATTCAGGGTTTCTTCCATAACTGCCTGCGTTTATCTGGGTGATTGGAAATCTTACTTAAATATGCTCCCTGGTTGAAATGCATCCCCTTGCAGAGGCAGGCATGGAACTTGTGCACTACTAAAGTCCTCAAATTAGATCTCCAGTTGGGCACAGGCTCTTTGTGCAGAGGGCAAATTGCATCCCATGTAATGAGTGTTGTACCTGCTTACCTCACTGACAGAACCATCTTCTTTTAACTACAAGTAACCCTACAATTAGTTGTAGTTATTCGTTCTATTTTCCTGCTCAGAGTTGTAGGTGATTGGAGAGGCATAACTTTCTAGCCAAAGGGCATATCGATTTGGCCTCTTCCTAGCTAGGTGTTGAGAAGATGATTAAGAACAGAATTACAACCTGATGCTCAAGTGAGGCCCAGCGAGGGTTTGAACCTGGTGCCTGAGCTTTGCAGATGGGAGGACTCGAGTCTCCACTGTCAGCATACAAATGAAATGCTACACTGCAAATGCTTTTGAGCAATCTGCAGGGAGGTGGAGTTCTGCGAGCAATACTGCCGTGATGTTCAGGCCCAATCCTACGCCATCTCAGCTCCCTGAAATCTAGCAATGATTGAGGGTGCACTCAGTCATCTTTATGGATCAGGCCTCTTATAGTGCTCCAAGTGTTAGGTCCTGACCTTCCTGTTACAGCTCTGACACCCCAAGTTATTTTCCAAAGGAGAGGACTACCAGCCTGATTTTGTCAGGGGTGCTGGCCACTTGCAGCTCCAATAAACTTTTGCTAGAAGCTCGGCTCTGTATTGTCAAGGACAAGATTTGTAAAGCTACTTGCACAATCCAGTTTCAGGTCTGTTATGTTGTGCGTGCTTGAATTTAACATAAACCTCTAAGCTTGAAAAATGTGTTCTCTCATTGGCTTTGGCATAAGGCTTGTTGCTTCTTTAGAAGGCAGCTTCGGATCTTCTGGCAGGTGCGCTATAGAAATGATTTAGAGAGAGCACATTTTGCCTTTATTTTCCTGAACAGTTTGATGGTGTGAATTCTTCGAGTATCCTGGAAATTACAAATCTAGCCACTGCTGTCAGTCACTCAATTCACTGCAGTAAAATAACCCACATAATATTTTTTTTTGTTTCCATTGACAATGGGAATTGCAATCTTGTCTGATGCCAAGTGCATTTTCCTGGGTCTAAAAACAGCCCGTTTCACGGAGACTTAATGGCTGTCACTGATCATATAAACCAAGTGGAACTGAGGTGCATGCTTACACCCATCCTGCATCAGCTGTGCTTGGGTTTGCAGTTTGCTCCCTTTCTGTTACAGTTTCTTACTTTAACTCCTACTGTATGCCCTTGTCTTGAAACCACTGTTGAGAGAATCAGAATCGATTCAGCACCAGCCATATTATTGCTATTGTTAGATCCAAAAAATAAGATAACAAAGCAATTGTTACAGCACTCCCCAGAGCTGGAATACTCGTTTCTTGATTAAAGGGAAGCAAAGAAGGTGCCTCCATTTCCAAAAAGCTGAAACGCACATGAGATTTAACCCCCACCAGTGCCAGTGTGTGTCTGATAGTTTACTATGCCTAGATTTTGGTTGTGCAAACTGGTTCTTTGCAAATTTGCTCGATTTCTGTCACTTGTCTCTCAACTCTAATTTCAGATTTGAACTGAGTGAACGTAATCCTGTTTATTTTGTGATACGGCACTTGTCTGGGCACACAGATCCTACCTACAGCAGGGTTTCTGTAGAGGAAATACATCTTTGTTACTTTGCAAGCTACTGAGCACCATTTGTAGACGTACTATGCACCCAATTACAATTTTGAAAGGGGATTTAGGCACTGGCGAGCTGCCCGGCTTCACGGTCATGACAGCATTCCCAAAGACTTACCCAAGGTAGCTTTCAGTGAGCTAGCTGAGGTCCTGCTAGTGGCATATCACTAGCAGCGTGAAACTCAGTGCTGGCTCACCACCTAAGGATTCACTCAGCTTCTCACCTGGGTTTGGCAACCCACACAGAGCTCTGTGCCGCTGTAGTTACATGACCAGCAGCACCCAAGCAAAGTAACTTAACGCTGACTTGGGTATGTCTGCACAGGCTGGAATCAGAGCAGTGTCTGCTGTGCAGACATAACCCAAGTCACTTTGCAAGTCAATGGCATTTGGGCTCCCAAATCATTCAGGGCTCTTGCAAATTTAACCTGCTGCATTGGCTGTTTGAATAAAGATATAGATAAGACTGCATCAAGGAACTGTGCATAAAAGAAAGACATTGAGACCATTAACTGAACAGAAGTTCTGGCCCAAGCTTCCAACAACCTATTTATAGTCCTATTACGGAAAATACATATTGGCACGTATGAATTTGTGACTCCTGGCTCCAGTACTAAGTCTCAGTTTTCATCAGGAAGATTCCCCTCTTCAAATGAGTTCTCTTTACAGCTAACAGTTATTAAATAGGACTATGGGTTTAAAGCTGAATTAAGCATCCTACTTCACAGCCGGTACTCTGCAGCTCCATTCAGGTTAGAACCAAAAATGCAAATACTGCTGGGGTAGAAGGGAACCAACAACTAATCGCAGATAGGTGGGGAGGGAGGGAGAAGTGGAGCTGTTAGTCAAGGGAACCCGTGTTACAATGCCTCCCGCTCTCCTCACTAGCACAAAAAATGAAGTGGGCTCTCTAATACCCAGGCAGAGCTGACACGATCTTGGGTTAACTTTTTCCTATTTCCCTTTGTTTTTGCCAAGTCAGACTTGATCTCTCGTTCCCATCCATGTAACCCCATTAACATTAGAGGCATTATATCTGACTTCTATTCCACCCTATGAGAGAAAAGGATTAGCCTTTACTGCAGGAGAAAGGAACGAAGAACAAACTAATAAGCCTTGTGCAATGGTACCTTTCATAAACTGAGGGTAAGGGAGGTAAATTCCCTGATGAAAATGTTGTTAGCACTTTGCACTTTACTTTTCAGTTCCATTTCATGTTTTAGCCAATAGGTCTGTATCTGAGAGAGGAAACTGATTTGATCTTGTTTCTTAGGACTGGCATCACGAGATTGGAAAAAGAAGGGCCAAAGAGGAAATGCTAGAACACAGTTGTCTCAACTAAATATGTTCCCCCTGGTCACAGAACAGATCGATGAAGGACGTGATACAGAGCTGCAGAACTCCCAACCTCTACTCTTTGGCTTTGACCACCGGACCACTGCTGCTCCCTCGTCATCACCAACCTAGGCTAAGTGCCTGGGTGGACATAGTCTTCCTTGCCTCTGCACTGCGCTGGCCACTTGCTGGATTTCTCATCAGAAAACAAGATGCCAGCAATATACATTGATACCTGGGTAACCCCATACCACGGCCACAGAGAAAATAGATGGGTATTGCTCGCTACAGCCTGCACTAACTGCAGGACAGATGCAAGAGCAATACATAATAGAGCCTATCAATTCGAGTTAAACCAATTTCCACTCAGCTCTGAAATCTGCACCCATCTAAGAACAACATAAAGCAGGAACAGAGAGCAACAGCACCTTTTCCAAAGACAGTAGGCAAACCTGGAAGTTTTTACTTTAGCTCTTTCCAAACGAAAATCAGATAAATAATCTGGATCCCTAAGATCTACCCCTGCATGCATGTGTTAAGATGTATGTTCAGTTACATTTAGCATCATTAGATGAGACACTGTGGTGTATTAAATACAGATTCTGAGTTAAAATGAAGGAATCCAGGAAAATTAACTATTTTAAAACTAGTGAGAAACAGCAGCAGGACAGCCCTTAGATTTCCAATGATGGTGATAGTAGGCTACACAGAGGAACATGGTTAGACAGCCTTGCCTGGGGCACTGCAAAACAGCCCTTTTTCATTAAGCTAACAGCATTTCCCTAAGAGCATCACCAGGTGAGCTGGGAGTGCAGAGGGGTTGCACACTTCCCTTCAGTGGTCTTGTACAAAAAGAGGTGTGTGTGTGTGTGTGTGTGTAAAAAGATGAAAAGGCAGGAAGCAGGCATGCTTTTAGCTCAGTGCCTCTCTTGCTTTCTGTATGCACGGTAGCCAAATTAGGAAGAAAAAAAAAAATCAAACAAATACCAAGACAGCAGAAAGACTTGGGGCACTTGGCCAGGCAGGCAGGGTTGCTGGTGACCTGGGTATTCTCTGGCAGGGGTTTCTACCAGCTCTGATGACCGGTCCATCCCCAACCCCAGCTCCATGCAGAAGAGGGGGGCTTGCAGGTGCCACATTGCGGCCTCCTTGCCCCCTACCTGCTCAGCGAGGAGTCAGAGGCAAATGACTTGAGACGTGGGGCTGGCTGGCAGCTGGCAGCTGCCACCCCGCCCCTGCCCCGCCACGCACCAGCCCTCACCTGTCCATGGCGATGGCGGTCATGGAGTAGATGCTAGCGAAGACGGCGGCGATGGGGAAGAAGTTGTGGAACTTGCAGTAGAGCAGCCCGTAGTACCACTCGTTGTGGATGGCGTAGGTGAAGTTCACCACCGTGTTGAAGGCGGCCATGGAGGCCTCGGCGAAGGCCAGGTTCACCAGGAAGTAGTTGGTCACCGTCCGCATCCTCTTGTGCGCCAGGACGATCCACATCACCACCACGTTGCCCACCACGGAGACCAGCACGATGAGCGCGTAGGCGACGGCCCAGAGGGCGATCTGCCAGGCGGGCTGCACAAACTGGTTGTCCTGCGTCCCGTTGAGCGAGCCGTTGTGGGACAGGGCGAGGTCCCCCTCCCCCTCCAGGATGCCGTCCATCCTCGGCTCAGCGCGTCCCGCGGGCTCGGACAGACGCGGGGCCGGGCTGCGACATCCTCGCCCCGCGATCCGCACCCGCCGCCGAGCCGGGCTACGTGGGAAAGGGGCTTTATATCCGGGCTGGGCGGCGGCGTCAGAGCCTCCCGCCCCCGGCCCTGCCCCTCTCCCTGCGGCTGGCCCCTGCCCCGAGCCGGCTCGGCCCCTCCCCCCCGCAAAGCCGCCAGCAACCGTTGCCCAGATGTGCGCGCCGGCTCCGGGGCGGGGTTGCTCCCACGTCTGCCACCGGGATGGGGACGTGCCAGAAGCCCCTTCTGCTTTGCCCGCTCTCCGGCACCCCCTTGCAGAGCTGGGCAAGGGCTCCAGCTGCAGCCGTGAGCTGGGTCCTGGGGATCTGCCCGGCTGCGGGGCTGCCTGTCAGGGACCCGGCTCCTGCGGGACGTGCCAGGGCGCGGGTCGTCTCGCCCAATCTCCTGGGTCACGCCGGACGCTGGAGGGGGGCGAGCTGGGTCTGGCCAGGGTTTCTTCCGCTGCTGGTCTCTCCCCCGCAGCCTCCAGCACTGAAGCTCTATCTAGGAAGGTCTGATGCCCAGGCTGCGCTCCCCGCTCTCATGCTCTCTAGCTAGCAGTGCCCCTCTCCTCCAAACGTGTCCCCCATCCCTCAGCTTCCACCCAGACCTGGACACAGGCGTGGGCAAAGCCGGTGGCCGACAGAAAGGAAAAAAATTACAATTACCAAAAAAAAAAAAGTTTTAACAGTGGGCATATACGGAACTGGCAATATTCTCAATTGAGAATGAACTATTTAAAGACATCAATACTGCAGATGTGATAAAGAGTTTTGCAACAACAACCAAATCATTACCTCTGGCAAAGAGGGGTCCAATACTAAGAGTTCACGTGGGGCGGGCAGGAGTCTAGGTGGGGCACTGCTCCCACCACCTCTGGGGGCAACAAGTCCCACGCTTGAATGAGACACTGGGTGACAAAGAACTGCCCTGCGTTAGTGTTAATGTTAACGTTACTGCCTGCTCTTTTCATTTCATGACCCCTAGTTCTTCTACTTGGGGGAGAGAGTCCATAATAAATCCCTGTTGACTGTCTCTTCACCATTTTGCCCCAGGCTCTCACACCAGAACAGCGAAGGACCCTTGAAATGGGAACAGGGACCCTTGCCACCTTCGCTGCTAGCAGTGTGGTGATATCCAGAACCGGGTGCCAGCTGCCAGCTGTTCTGTAGCTGGCATGGACAAGTGTCCTTAACTCTGATTTTCTGTGATTTTCTGGCAGGCTCTGTAGTGAAGCCGAACCATGGAGACTTGAAGCCTTCCCTCAGCAGTGTCTAGGTGCCCGCATCTGGGGGCTGAGTTCTAGCATGAGCTGAGATTGTCTGTGATGTGCCTTTGGGGAGATAAAATAGAATATTCAGGACAATGGTCACAGCTAGCCTGAAGCAGAGGTGAAGAATTCCTTGTACCAAAGAGATTGCTTGTACCAAGAGGTTATTTTGCCGTTAGCTTCCACTGATGTAAAGCCAGCCCCTTCTATGTGTCCTGACCCCACTGAAGAAGACAGCAGTACGTTTTAATAGCCCCAGCCTGTCTCAGGGATGCAGACACAGTATGCAGTGGTCTGTCTGCCTATGCAGCATTCTTCATGATTTTCTCGCTCCCTCGGCAATTGCATTAAGCATATGCATGCACGCAGGTATTGTACCAATAATTGTGACTATCTGTTTCTACACCCTCCCATCTATCCAGAAAGTGCATTGAGACCAGAGTTAACTGGGAATGGAACTTTTCTTTCATCTTTCAGGCTTCTTGTTGTGCACAATTTTAAAGCAAGCCCATCGATAAGAGCTGTGCTGGGATTTAACGAGCACGTACAGCATTAAAGGTGCACTGGCAGGGGCTTGCCAGCAAATTCCTCTTTCAAGCTGGTAGGGAACAAAGCCAATGATATTGAGACATGGCTAGATGGAAAACCCATATGAAATCCTTACCTTCACAGTTCATGAAAGGGACACGGCAAATCCATCCCTGCAAGTACCTGCAGGCATGCTGTGGCCCCCCGACTAGAGGGTGCTTTAAAGATTAAGCCTTTATCTTCTCCTATTTTTAAACCCAAGCAGAAGGAAGGGCTGGGCAGGACCTTTAAGACTGACTGTTTCAGGAAGGCATGAACTTTTGTAAGCTACAGCCAGAAAAGCCAAAAGAAAGAAAAAAATATGCAACCTTTCACTATCTGCTCACCATGTTTACTTCCTACTGGCCTCTTATTGATCCCAGTTAAACCAGTATACATCTAAGATCACTCCAGCAGGCCCAGCTCTCCTTTTACATATGCTGGCTTTAAACCAAAGTAACTCCATCATCTTCAGGGGAAATGTTCCCCACTGCTTCTCCTGTAGGAGACGAATCTCATTCTGGGATCTTAAAACCACATTGTAATGCATCAGCATTAGACCTCAGCATAGGACCTCACTCCTCATTGAGTCTCTCTGAGTTCAGTGGGCTGGTTTGCAGAGTACGGTTTTGCTCCACATGAGCTCTGAGTGAAGGTAATGAAGACTGGATCCTATAAGAGGATCACACTAGACCAGTAATGCTCAACCATGCTGCCACAAAATACTTTTAAGGGTACTGCAGAATGCCGCATAATAGTAGCACCATTAGGTATGCAAACACTTATACATGATTCACAAGATAAACCAAGAAATTTCAAATAGAAATCCATCATATCCATCACCTTCTGACCTGTAGTGGTCTTTCTGAGTCTTTTGCAACAGAGGAACAACTCTATCATGTTGTTTCATGGTCAAGAAATGTGTGAAAGTTAAGAGTTTTCCAAGGGGTGCCTTGAGTCTAAAACTTTTGAGAACCCAAGTTAGCTTTGTGCCCTATTAAAGTACAATTGTTGGACATCACCCATGATTTCATGCAAACTCCAGTTGTTTGTGGATGCTATTTTATGCAGATGCACGTTATGGTAATGTATTGTGATTGCATTTGGTATTTTAGATGTTGAGTGACCCCTGCTCACAGCCATCAAAAGTGAGTTTTTAAAAGAGTTCATCACCTATTCTTTTTTCATTGACCTTCCTTGAGAATGGTTTCAGAACTTGGCTTGGGTTTTTTGTCCCCTTGCCTTGTTAAAAATATAACAAAGCTGTAAAGCTGGGTCAGAGGCAATTGCTTTTTTATATTAGAGTTTTTATTCTCATTGCTTTTCTGTTTGTGGCAATTCAAACAGCCCTTAAGGTCTATAATCTTTAGTGGTTGATTGCTTGTCTACACAGGGAGATTCACCAGCATAACTATGCTAAGATAATTACACCAGCATTACTCCCTATCTGGAATGCCGTCTTCTGCCTCAACTTACAGAGCTTTGGAAGAGGCATCGATTAAACCAGAAAGAGGTTTACTCCCTCTGGAATAAGAGGTTTCCTGCAAGAAGTTAAAACAGTAGCCCTCTAACAGTAGCACTGTATTTCTGTAAAATTTCACAGGGCAGACAAGGCATTATATCTACAGATTCATTTTGGTTGAAGTAGGTGAGATGGGGGCAAGGGACCCTATATTTAGGCTTTATTAACCATTGTTTTGCTGAACTGCAGCCCATGTGGTTCAGCAACGTAATTAAGTGCTATCAAGGGTTGCAGGATCAGACAGTAACTTAAGTGCTGGCACTTTTGTTTCACTAACAGTTTTTCCGTGTACTAGAAACATGATAGCTCAAGACCCATTTGATTTAACAAGTGAAAAATGTTTTCTAACAAGTCACTCATACAGTTTAGTATTAATTTTAGACTCCTTGTAGCTCAGATTTACTCTGAATGCCAAAGCCACAGTTGCAAATAGCAGTTACAACATCCAGCAGTTGTAGCTTTTACTGCTCAGTGGTCTGAGAAGCTTTTGCTGCCTCCAGTACCGGATCGATTTACAGAAGGCAGGTCTATTTACAAGCAATCTGTTCCCATGTATAGACTTTTGAAGGGTTTTCTTTTTTAAAAACAGAGCAACAAGAAGACCGTCTCCCAGCTCTGATACAATCAGTTTCTCACTAATCGATAAATGACTTTCCATGGTCACTTTTGTAATATCTTTCAGCCAAGAAGATCAAGCCATCAAAAAAACCTGAAGCCAACGGGTGATGATTGCTTAAGCCACCCTTGAAGAATCTCACCTTCCAGCACGAGACAACTCTGAGTCGTCTTGAAATCAAATTTAACTGAAAAAGCACCTCTAGATTCACATTCACCCATCACCCAGATTTCCAGTACCAGAGGTATTGGTTATCTCATAGAGATAACTATAAGCATCAAGGGAGCTTAGTGCTGTTTAACCTGTTGCCAGCAGTGGGCAAAATGCAATTCTACTTATGTAGCTACTTCTTTCCCCTGTGGATAGGCCAACATCCAAGTAGCACCGGTGTCTGGCAGCCAACAATAGTTGTGCAGCGAAAGTGCCTGCAGTGCAAGAATTAAAAACGTGCAGAGTTTGTTATAGCAGGGCTGGAAGGTTGTTGTAGCCATGATGGTCCAGGAAATGTCTGAGAGGCAAGGCTTTCTTGTGATAGCTCATATTGGACCAACTGTACAGTTGGGAGAGCTGTTCAGAGCTGAGGAAGGGCACCTGATCCTGAAAGCTTGTCCAGCAGCTTTCCCCATTATACAGTTGTTCCAGTAAAAGATACAACAAAAAAAGCCATGCCCCTTAGTGTTTGTTAGAGAGTTGTACTGGTCTTCAGATATGTTACATACTACAGGTCATTGGGAATAAGGCTTCAGGTTCTCAAGGTATCATCACAACTGTTGGTGAGACTTGGCCCTGAATGAATCTCCTCAGCTCCGTGCAGCCCCAAACTTTGAGGAAGAAGTCTAAGCTTTGTGAATGGACCCATCTCTATAATAGGCCAAGCCACTGAATGCATATATGCATTTATGCATGTTTGTACCTAGGTATGCAGGTTGTAGCTGCATTGGTCTAGAGGAAAAGGCAATCAGGACTCG